CCGAACGCGGCGCTCCCGCCGTCGTCGGAGCGCATCTCGCGCGCGATCACGCGCCTCCACGACTCGATCTTGGCCAACTTTGACAACATCGCCGAGGACAACCGCGAGCTCCTCGACTCGCTCATCGCCGAGCACTTGCCGGCCAAGCTCCGCGCCGTGGCCCTCGACCGCGTCAACGCCCAGGTGCCGCTTGCGTACATCAAGTGCATTGTCGCGGCGGGCCTCGCCAGTAAGATTGTGTACCGCGAGGGCCTCCAGTACGTCGAGACGCTTCCGGAGAGCAACCTCGCCAACATTGCCGTCTCGTACCTCAAGCAGGAGAAGAAGGTGCAGGCGCTCGTCGGCGAGCTTGGTGCGTCCAACCTCGCCCACCGCGAAGAGATGGCCGACCTCCTTATCCGCGGCGGTGTCCGTGCCGGTGTCACCACCTTGTAAAGATGAGGTCCCACATCCTCATCGTTTGTGCTGGAAACCACGCGCTCGTAATATATGGATATATAGTTATCTTCTTTCCGAGTGGAGTTTTAAAGAGAGCCATGGCAAGCACAGCGTGGCTTGACGCACTGGAGGCGATGCGCGGGCCGCGAATCTTCGCAACTGGTCGGTTGTGGCAAGGGTTCATACAATGGTTGTCATGGACCCTTGGTTGTGGCATGCATACAACCTGTACAACGAGGGGATTGATTGATGTCCTTGGTTGTGGGATGAGTGTGACGAGCAGATACTGTAGTCCTTGTTAAAGCTCCTCCAAGGGTAGATCAAGTGTGGAGTAGAATGCATTCTTCAACACCCTTGGCTCCTCGCAATGGGACAATGCATTCGAGATGGTCGTCGACCAAGAGATGCTGCTGGAGACGGGTTGTTGCTTGCCGTGACAGCTTGATACACTGATACCGGGATGACGTGGCAGTTGCTCCGGCCTGCAATCCCAGCAACACCCACCTTTCTCTCGGTTTGCTGTAGTACCGGTACAAGCATCGTTGCCAAGACGATTTTGGCTGCGAATCGTGCTCGTGTATCAGGAGGTCTGACAGCGTCTCACATTGCACAATTGTGTTTGTGAGGCTGCTACATCGAACCTCACGTCGCCCTATCCTTCATGGCGCACGATGTTGGCAAGCGACGTATCCAATCCGATACTTAGACGGATAGTAGATGCGTCTTGAAAATCCAATCGAGCGGATAGCCGCATGTGATAGAAGGTCACAATACAAACCTAAGGTCACGTTGCCGTTGTCGACTGCAACACGACCCGAGCAGGTGCTATAAGTATACCACAATCTTGACGCAAGGCGTGTGAATTTCTATCCGTCGTGATGCCTTGCTAGTGTCTGGCTGCTTGCTCTACTCGTCGGTCTACAGTGTAGATGCTGGCTTGACCTCTACACGAAAAGCAGTATGTTGGCAGCAACGGAAGAGGCACGGACCTTAATGCATGAGGCAAATCGATGCGCTCGATTGCCAAGTCGACAGTTCTGATTATTGCCTCCCATGACGCACGCGAAAAGAGGGTCGGCATTCAGAAGAGGGCGGGCGTCTGACAGGCGCAACTGGCCACAGCGTTTCATTACAGTGTATTGCAGCTCTTCGGACACTGTATGGGAAGCCAATCGAACCACCAGTGATAGCAGGTGCGACGGCTGCGTTGCCTGATAACGAACGATGGTTGGCGCGACAAAAGCATGGAAGCATGCACGATGGAAGGGAACATGCCACGGTACGTCGTCGACCACATAAAAACTCGAATTTTGGAAACAAGCTACCGGTACCGGTACTCCCCGATGCGACCATACAAATCACAACTATCGTATATATCATGCAGGGCACCGCGGCTACTCGTCGTTCGAAGAAGAAGCAGCCTTCGATGAATCACTGGTTGGATGCGCGCGTCGGAAGCCGCTGCAACTTATGCTGTTTCGGTTCCTGCAAGCAGTGGATGACCGAAGTTTCTGAACTTTTTCCGAGCCGAGTAAAATCGTGGTTGCCGTGAATCAACGGCCACGAGCGAGCGTGTGCAGTCTCTCTCTTGGGTGATAAACGACTGGCGCCGTCCACGACATGTGGGCTTCTTCAAGCTTTGCCGTCGGCACCCAAGGGGCCAGCGGTCTCGACCCTGGTTGTCGCACGCCACATCCAGGATTGGCCATGGACTGTGTCAAACATTTGATTGGTGGACATGTCGGCCATATCTGCTTCGGATTTGGTGTATTTGCTCGTCACGTCCACCAATCCGATGCGGCGAATGAAAA